AGGGATTATCTAATAAATAAAATTTGTGTTTTTTTTTTTTTTAAAGGCCTCCAGGGTTGGGGCACCTGGCCGGTTCGTTCCCTAGGGTATGTGACTCTTGATCTCAGGTCCTCAATTTGAGCCCCATGTTGGGCATAGAGAGTACTTTAAAAAAAAAAAAAAGCTTCCAGGGTGTTTTAAGTTCCATTTCTTAACTGGACATTTAAAAACCCCACCAACCACATGTGAATTAAGGTATAAAGACTTTATGATAAAGGAAGGTACCCTATACAAGAAATAATAATTTGCAATTAATCTAATTAGAACCCATGACAACATGATAAAAATATGATTATCAAAAGTAATATAAGATTTAAAAAGAATGCTTGGGGCACTCAGTTGGTTAAGTGTCCGACTCTTGATCTCAGCTCAGGTCTTGATCTCGGGGTCATGAGTCCAAGCCCCGCATTGGTCTCCACGCTGGGCGTGAAGCCTATTTTTAAAAAAATAAAAAGAAAAAAGAAAAAGAAAAAGAATCCTTGAGAAAGACATACCCTAAAGAAAAAAAAACTTAATCCAAAATTTCATAAAACTTTTGTTTTTAATCATAGGTTGACAGCAAGAGGGAAGAAACAGGCTAATAGAGAAGTAAAAACGTACTAAAGTTCTGTTGTTTTTGAGGGGGAGGGCAAGAAGGCAGTGTCACTGTACAAATTAATTTCCAGTGGCATGAAAAACAGGTTCAAATATGACTGCTAAGTTAAAATGGTACACTAAAATTTTAAGTTTAGTAATGTAAAAAGTGTGATTACCAGTGGCCACTATACTTGATTTTACTATAAGAACATTTTATGAATAAACACTGCTTTTTCCACTTAGTAAGAGAATAAAAGATATTTACAAAAGAATTAATCTGAAGAGAAGTTGGTCAGTTACCACAACATGGAAATGGGAGTCACAAATTACAACAGTAATGAAGAGTCACCCTCGCTGAGAGTTTCTCACATACCAAGCCCTCCGCTAAATGTTTTTCATCTAACACTGAATCCTCACAGCCACCATCAAGTAGATACTACTATTACCATTATCCCCAATCCACAGATGAAAAACAGTGGACTTGAAAAATTCCAATTCCAAATGTAATCAGACAAAATCACTTTTTAAAAAATGTTTTTATTGTAAAAGTTCCTTTTTCAGTCTCATGTTATCTTCTTGCAGATAAAAAAAAAATCTCCATCTATGTGAACTGTCATAAATGAAGGAGAGATTGCATAAAGTGGACAGGATGGTTGATTTATGAATTATGTGACGATGTGGTGTATCACTTGGACTGGATCACATAACTAATAGGTCACATAACTAATAAATGGCAGCACTGGGGTCCAAACTCAAGTTTTTCTGATTCAACTTGCAAATGTCTTAACCACTCTATTAAAGAGTCTTCTCAAGAGGCAAATAAAGGCAGTGCCCACCTAAGCATTGCCCAGAAAGGATACCCGGACTCAAAGGAACTTGTCTGGTTCTGGAGGCAGCACCATTCCCCTTATGAAGACAGGGAAGGTTTTCAGGGCAGTTTCATTCTCTGGTTCCATGCTCACCAAGCAACTTCTAGTTTGCACTGGCTCTCATGTGGCCTGCCTACAGGGGAACATGGCCTGGCCAGGGAACACACATACTAAGGGCCCTTGGTGGTTCCATATCTCATTGTAAATTACAAAACTGGCTTCCTGCTTTTATATATCCTTCTCAGTCAACTGGGGTAACGCATGTCTTACTCCCAAAGACAATAGGTTTTTGGGTTTATTTTTTTTTTTAAGATTTTTTATTTGACAGAGAAAGAGAGAGTGCACGCACAAGTAGGCAGAGCGGCAGAAAGAGGGAGAAGCAGGCTCCCCACTGAGCAGGGACCTGGATGTGGGGCTCGATTCCAGGACCCTGGGATCATGACCTGAGCCGAAGGCAGACGCTTAACCAACTGAGCCACCTAGGCAACCCGATAATAGGTTTTTAAGCTGAACCCCTCGCTCTAAACTGTGCTGATTCCATCAAGGTTATCCTGCCCCGTGGGAGTGGTTGTGCCCAGCTGACACCCTCTTGTCTCATCACCTCCATCAAAGCTCTGTAACATATACCTTCCAAACTGGAGAGTTTTCTAATTCCCCTTAAATTCACAACCTCTCTTGAAAATGTGTTATGAAACTCAGAATGAATGATATGCAGAGAATTTCAACAGCTCTGAGAGGCTGTTGCTATAATGAATAGCAATATTTTCCTGTGGGGTTAATGTTCCTCCATTTTAAAAGTCACTCTTCACAGCCCAAATATGGTGAATTTAGAAAAAGTTTCCTTTCTCCTTCTTGGTGTTCCATTCTAGCTCCTTACTAAGGCTCAGCCTCCTCTATTCAACCCCAGGGGTCGGCTATGTCTTCTCTCTCTCTCCTAGACAGCCTCATGCCCTCTCCCAGCTTTGATGAACTGACCTAGACTGATGATGCCCAAATCCCTACCCCGAGCTGAGCTCCAAGGCTGCACATGCCTCTGCCTGCGCAACATCTCCAACCCACATCTCTAACTGAGCACTTCCAGCACTGATCTCACCACAAACCTCTCCCCATCCCCCTCAAACCTGCTCTTCCTTTTATGCTTCCTCTCCCAGTTACAAGCTCCACCATACTGGAAACCTGAGTATCAGCCTGGATCCTCTGGCTAGCCCTTCTCCACACTTGGCATGTAGGTCCTGAGTATCTCCAGATTCCAGCCACTTCTCTCCATCCCCATCCAGATCCAAGTGACTATCATCTGCACCACAACTACTCCTTTCTACTCATTCTCCAGAAGGCCCACTCGTCACAAAAACAATCACACCAAACCCCCTGTTTAAAATCCTTCACTAGGGGAGGGGTGCCTGGGAGGCTCAGTTGTTAAGTGTCTGCCTTTGGCTCAGTTCATGCTCTCGGAGTCCTGGGATGGAGCCCCACAATCAGGGGGAGCCTGCTTTTCCCTCTCCCTCTGTCTGCCACTCCCCCTGCTTGTGCTTGCTCTCTGTCAAATAAATAAATAAAATCATTTAAAAAAAAATAAAAAATAGGGGCACCTGGGTGGTTCAGTCGTTAAGCGTCTGCCTTCAGCTCAGGTCATGATCCCAGGGTCCTGGGATCAAGCCCCGCATCGGGATCCCTGCTCTGCAGGAAGCCTGCTTCTCCCTCTTCTAACTCCCCATGCTTGTGCTCCCTCTCTCACTGTGTCTCTCTCTATCAAATAAATAAATAAAATCTTTTAAAAAAATAAAGAAAATAAAAAATAAAATCCTTCACTAATAGGGCACTTGGATGGCTGAGTCGGAAGAGCATAAGACTCTTGATATCAGGGTTGTGAGTTCAAGCCCCATGTTGGGTGTGAAGATTACTTAAAAATAAATAAAATAATAAAATTAAAAAATAAAATAAAATAAAATCCTTCACTAACTTCCCTACTACTTCCATGACAAACTCAAACCCTTTAACAAAAACCCAGCATTATGTGGCCCTGTTCTCAGCCTTTCCTCTCCCTACCTGAGGCTCCAGGTAGAACACCTGCCTCATGTCTTTGGCCTACAGTTCCTTTGGTGCAACAGTCTTTCCAGCCTTCAGCAAGTCCACCCTGCACCATCCCTTTCCCCTCTGCTGCCTCTCCCTATTGTCCATAGCACCCTCTACTTTCCCTATCATAGCACGGATCAGCCTATTTTCTTACTGGTATCAACACTAGCATGAGCTCCTACTACATATGTCCTTGGCACCTAACAGGTCTTTAATATCAAATAGTCAAATGATTCTGAATAGTCACCAGGGCACAGTTTATCTATTCCTAACTTTTTATGAACTACAACAATGGGATTTCCAGTTAGGAATATAACCTGGGCATTTACAGGGAATAACCAGTTTCTCCATCTTTCTCTTACCCCAGAACCAAGCAGCCAAAGACAGGAAGAGCCCTTTTCTTCACAGGCCTTACATAGCATTTTAAATTTAAGACATTATGTGGATCCCTGAGGACTCTACAACTTCCTACAGACGAGATTACAGGTTTTCCAGGGCAAACTTCCCTATGATAACTGTAAAAGACTATTGCTACAGCTTTAGTGTTGGGGTACCTAGCTGGCTCAGTCGGAAGAGCATGAGACACTTGATCTTGGAGTTGTGGGTTCAAGCCTCACAATGGGTATAGAGATTACTAAAAAAAATAACTTAAAAAAAAAAGGACAAAGTTAAAAAAAAAAGGGGGAGCTGGCTTTACATGCACTTTAAATCACACAACCACTCTTGAGCATTAGGCACCACTGTTATCCCCATGGTTCAGATGAGGGAACTAGATCCCAGAGAGTCACATAACTCATCCAAGGTTAAACAACCAGTTGGTGAAGAAACCAGAATTCAAAAAGGAATGTTGAATGAATGAATGAAATCAGTAAACTGTACTAGGTCAGGAGGACGCATTTGGGATTCTATTAGAAAAGGGGAACTTGGGGGGCTCCTGGGTGGTTCATTTGGTTAAGTGTCCGCCTGCAGCTCAGGTCATGATCTCAGGATCCTGGGATCAAGCCCGGGATCATGCTCACTGCTCAGCAAGGAGTCTGCTTCCCCCTCTCCCTCTGCCCCTTCCCCCCTGCTCATGCTCTCTCTCTCTCTCTCTCTCTCTCAAATAAATAAATAAAATCTTAGAAAAGGAAAAAGGAACCTGGACAATCCTAAACGCATTACTATTTGATTTTGTATTACATTTTAAGGGAATAAATATAAGCATTTTAAAACTCAGCACTACTAGTGATCTTATGGGGCACACCCAAAGAAAGACCTCTTGCTCTGTATCTACTCCTTTTTCACAGGGAGGGGGGCTTGCAGACTTAGACATCATGGCCAGCGACATACTTGGAGAACACAGAGCCAGCATGCATTAAAATGTCTGGGAAGGAAGAAGGCACGAAGCCAGGCTAGAGAAGCCTGCAGCCCTTTTTGGGGCGGGGGGGGGGGGGGGGGGCTCACCTCCCGGAGCTCCAGTCTTTGGGCCACAGCTTCCAGGCTCTCCTGGCCAGTGCTCTCCACAGACAGCGTGAACTCCACAAATTCATTATTGAGCAGCTGGATGCGGGCAACCAGGCAGCTCTTGCTGGACACCGTGTAGCGCCGGGTGCGTTTTAGTTTCAATCCAAATGGCAGTGGCATCTTCTCGTCCCTTCGAGCGTGGCGGAGAAGTTAAAGAGGGAAAAGCACCGCCACCAACGCGGAGGTGGTGACGGCGGGAGAAAGCGATCCTCTCCCGACGGGAGGAGTACTGCACAGTCTCCGGCCGCTCACCCAGCAGCGGCTGCCGCCATCAAAAAGCAACTGAGTCCCCAAAGGCCGGGTGAAGGGAGCATCCACGCCAGTGCTGAGGGAAGAGGAATACCAGTTACAGGGGCAATAGCAAGTTCTGAACGGAGTTTTTATTTTTATCCTCTCCCCCCACCCCCGGCCGCCTCTGAGTTTTTTTAAAAATAAAAATCATGAAAGTTGTATCCAAAGAATAAGCTTTCCCTGTCTCCTGGAAAAAGAAGGCCTGAACAGCCATCCGGGAGGCAGTGAGGAAGTTTATCATCGCACTGCCTTAGCCGCTGGGTCAGACTCCACCCCTCATTGAACCCTACAAATAGCGATAACCACCTGCGGCTATCTTCGGGATTAAACCAGACAGTGGCTGGCACTACCGTACCGCCAAATTTAGTAGCTAGCCTTAGTGTGGTTCTACGTTAAAGTTTTGTTTTTTATAGTTAATTTTTTCGGCTCCCTAAGACGCCAAGTGTCGGGGTTCTTTAGCCCTTACGGGAGATAACAGCAAAACACCTCCAAAAGCCCTCGGTGAAAGTCTAAACCCCATTAGACAAATGAACCCTGAACCCAAAGGGGAGCAATAATCCGCTCTAACATATGGCAGCTGTGAGGTTCAAGCGAGGTGAAACGCTTACGCTTAACAAGCATTGGTCGGGCCGTTTCTGCTTTATAAACATTTACGTCTCCAAATTGATTGACAAGTCATAAAGACCCTACCAATGCTTGTTACCCGATTACCACCAGAAGCAGGGAAATTCTGAAAACGGTGGCCCCGGCTTCCCAACGGGTGGGGACGCCGGAGAGGCGGGGGGGCCTTCACCTGAGCGGAGCCGCGGCCCAGAAGCCGAGGCGGGCGAAGCCTTAAACGCCATCCTGGATTAACGGGGGGCGGACCCGGCTCAGCAAGCCCACGAAGCAGGGGGAGCAGGGGAGAACTCCCGCTCCGACTCCCCCCGCCGAGTCCTCCCCGCCGAAAAGCCGGCGGCGTTGCCGGGCCAACGCGCAGCCTCAGAAGTCCCGGAACTCTCCGCCCGCCGCCGCGTTTCCGGGCGGACGCGCTAACGAAGGACTGGCTCCTGCTGCCCCCGGAGGGAGCGTTTAAAGAACCCAGCTCGAGACGCACAGGAGGTGGACGGGTCTGGGCGGGGTCCGTTTGGTTCCCTGTTTGGAGCCTCAGGACACCTCCACCCCCCATACGTGATTTACAACGTTTTTAAACACACCTGGTAACTCCTGGGTGGAGCAAACTGAGCGTGAGCGGCGGCTGGGGGTTTTTCCCTCTAAACGAGTCAACAGAATCCCGGGAGGGTTCCTACCCTTTGGGGGATTGTTTTTGTTTTTTCTGAGTAGAGGCTGCCCCAGAAGACGAGTCGTTCAGCGAGGCTCGGCCGTGGCTGTGGCTGGCTACCCTGAACTTGGGCGGGGAACCGCGCGGAGGGGCAAGGTCCGCCCCCAGTCCTCTCATCTGGGAGACACAGAACCCAGGCCTCGAAAGAAGGGACTTTCTCAGCTTCACACTGGGATGGGCTGAGCTAGGAATGGATCCCAGGTTCCTCATTCCCAGTCTTCTGCTCTTTTCCGCTTTCCTGACTGCGTCTCGGTTTCAGAGACGATGGGCACACAGGGCTGGAGTATGGCAGAACTAGAGAATAGAGAGTAGCAATTTCACTAGGCTTTGCCAGAGGTAACATTTTGTAATTCCACTCCACAAAAGTGTACTGCGTCTCTGAGTACAAGGCAGCGTAGTGGGCAGTGTGAGAAATCTAAGACGAACCCTAAGCCGTCGCTGCCCTTAAGGAGATTACATGCATGCTATAATTATATACATGGCTGTATCTCTAGTAAGGACCGCACCACGGTTTTTTCTGTTTCTGTATTCTTGCTTTTGTTGTTTGTGTTTTGGTTTGGTTTTTTGCCTTTGAAGTTCTGGTTATGCCCAGGTAGCCAGAAAAATAAAAGTTAAAAACAAGGACTAGAGGAAGAAGGCCAAAGGAAAAAACCAGGACTATAAAGCGCTGTTTTTGTACCTTCTATAAGTAAAAGCACCATACTAAGGGGGGTAATATAAATATTATAAAAAGATACGGTCTCGGGCGCCTGGGTGGCTCAGTTGGTTAAGCGACTGCCTTCGGCTCAGGTCATGATCCTGGAGTCCCGGGATCGAGTCCCGCAACGGCTCCCTGCTCAGCGGGGAGTCTGCCTCTCCCTCTGACCCTCCCCCCTGTCATGCTCTCTCTCTCTCATTCTCTCTCAAATAAATAAAAATCTTAAAAAAAAAATATGGTCTCCACCTGCAGTTTTCAATGCCCTTTGCTATGTCAGTGTATAAACTAAAGCTGAGGCAAAACGAAAAAAAAAATCAAGAAATGAGAACTTTAAATAAGCTTTTGACCAGAAAATTGCCTGATAAGCTATCAGTGTTTGTATAATACAAATGTTAAAAGATTATATGTATGTAACATACCACACCGCATATACTATTAAATACCTTTCATGAGATGAGGTGGTGGATTTCAATTTTACATACAAATTATGGTTAAAAAACGGGACAGATTAAGTAGTGTGATGAAGAGACAAGACACTGCATTTATTCAGAGGAAAGATGAGTATTTGTATTGAGTGTTCAAATATGGTAGACTCTACAAAGATAGACCTAGGCCTTGAAGGCAGTAGGTATACTATATAACTTAATTATTAACTTAAGCTCTGATTAAGCAAATGCAGAGTAAAATTTTCAGTTGTTCCTGAGATCTGAAATGTTTTACTGTATCAGAGATAAAGAAAAGCCAATGTTTTCTCTTTACTTGGGTAGAGTTATATATATATATAAAACAGAAAAAGTTGAGGGGTGAATGTGGATGTCAGGGTGCATTTTTCCCCAAGATCCATTCACAAGAATAGCTTGCTTATTGCTTATTTATATAAAACTTACTGTGTTAATACTGTTTAATAATTTAGAAAATTATCAATGATTTACACCTTTTAATTTTCTGTTATATACAGTTTTCATTAGCAAATCATGTCAAAGTTATTAATGTTCAAATGGAGTAGAAATATAAGTTGCTTTTGGGGGAGGTCTGTTTCAGGTGTAAAATAATGTGGAATAGCGGCACCTGGGTTGCTCAGTCGGTTAAGCGTCTAACTTCTGCTCAGGTCATGATCCCGGGGTCCTGGGATAGAGCCCCACATAGGGCTCCCTGCTCAGCGGGAACCCTGCTTCTCCCTCTCCCTCTGCCTGCTGCTCTGCCTACTTGTGCTCTCTCTGTGTCAAATAAATAAAATCTTTTTAGAAAATATGCAATAATTTGAAAGATCTGAAATTATATCTACTAAAGAGATAATTCATAATTTGCTTGTGAAGAAAAACTAGTAAATACTTTACAAAAACCATCCTGTTATGTAATAAGAGACACGTTAAATTCTGTTCCACTTTTCAAAAGGCAGTCTCAGATATTTGTGAATTCATTTTAATGTTTCCACATTCCCTTTCAAAAGTTTCTCAAATACACTGTAACTCTGAATCCTGTCCTCTCCCCACCTTGCTGCCAAGATCCTCCCCACATGTAATTTTGCCAGTGATACTTTAATCACAGAATATGCCATCTTTAGAGTAATGTATAGATCTATAACATTAAATGAAACATATTTCTCATGGACAAAAGGCGTAGATACTCGAGAATATAATACCTAGAAACAAAACAACTATTATCAGAGTAAAATTACTGTCATATCCCAAAGTTAAAAAAAAAAATCTATCAGCAACTAATTAGGCATACAGCGGTTGTCAGAGCACACAGTGTTTTGAATATGTTTGCGAATATACGCTATTATTATAAGGCTTTCTCAGCATAAAAGAAAAGACGTGCATGCCAAGAGCGGCCAATCTAATCAGGATTTGCAGAAATCACAAGTCGGAATTTGCAGACCCAAGAATTCTTTTTTCCAGAGTAAACACTCTTTACTCCAAAAACAAGTCATCACCAAACAATCCTTCCCTACTCGCCTTCTCGCCAAAGTTATCTGGCACATTTCGTATTTAATATACCGAGAGGCAAAAATATGCCTAAGACTGTTAAAACCCTGATCCAGAATTAAGCCGCAACAATCAGCCAAGGAGTTCAGAACAGAAGTTCAAGACCCCTTTTAGAAATGAACTCAACTAGATCACGGAGAACCTGGAAAGGGAAGACTTTTCTCTTTGTTAACGCTCCTGCCACAGGTCTGGAAGCCGGGACCCATCCTCCGGGAGGGGCTCCAGGGCTGGCCGACGCGCTCCGGGGTCCCCGCTGGCGGACACACCCCACCGCTCAGCCCCAGCGCCCGCCCGCCGGCCGGGGCCCCGCGCCCTCACCTGCTCCCGCTCCCGCATCCTCGGGGCCGCGCGCCCCGCTCAACGGCCCGCCTCCCGGGGTCCCGCCGCGCGGCAGCCACAGCCGCGCCCGCACGCCAGCCCGCGTCGCGGCGCGCTCATGGGGTTCGCGCGCCTCACTTCCTGTCTCCCAAACTTCGGCCGCATTCCCCTGGGCAGAGTCCGGCGGCGGTGGCGGCGGCGGTGACGGGAAAGGCCTGGAGGTGGGACCGGCCAGCCGGGAGCGCGCACAAAGGAACGGGGTGGGGGCTGGAGTGGCAGGAGGACAGACGGACGGACGGACGGACGGACGAACAAACGGGGCACGGGACGCGCCGCCGGAGCAGCGGAGCGGCCGGGGCCGGGCGTCCCTCCCCCTGGGCCGGGCGGGCGGGCGGGGCGGATCCGGGGAGGCGGCGGCGGCGGCCCGTGACCTCAGAGAGTTGGAATGCGGGCGGCGGGGCGCGGGGGAGGTGCGGACAGCTGCGCCCGGCCGCCGGGGAGGGGGCGCGCCGCTGCTTGTTTTTTAATCATATGACCACTTATTTTAAGAGTTTCCAAATAAAGCAAGGCTTTTAATAAAAATGAGGGGAGGGGGATATCATTTCGGTTCCAGGTAAAGGGTCCGTAAAATGCTATTTTTGCTGGAGTTATTCCTTTACTGTTGTACATTTCTGAAAACAATTCAAATATTCTATTTCTTACTTCCATGCTTACGTCTAAAGATATACCCCATAAAAAAGGAAAAACACTTTAAAGTACTGGGTGGGAAAGTCCTCTTCTCCCCCCCAAAAAGGTTGATATGCCTCTAACAGCTCGGTCTCCGAAAGAGCTGGATACATACGCAGTACAGAGTAGAGCTATTAGAGATGGGGACTCCATGGTCAAGTTGTCCAGGTTCAAATCTCAGCGCCAACAGTTTCTAGGTGGGTAAACTTGTGCAAATTTCGTAACCTCACTGTGCCTGCTTCCTCTCTTCTAAAGTGAGAATAATAATAATCACTGTCCAGTAACTTGTGTAAGATACATGTGAAGTGTTTTTGTTTAACTCTAGACCCCGTTAGCGGTGTTTATTATTACACAGTATTGTATTTTTAAGCTGCATTATTGTAACTGAATTACAGCACTTAAGCGGAGGAATAAAACTGTGTGACCCTAACACCATCACAGTAGGATTATTTGATCTTTACCTGGCATGTGGTTTGAGTGATTGGAGCAGGGAAGCTTTTATTTGGCAAATTTTAATTTAAATGATTTTTTTAAAAAATACGGGTTCTGGAAAGGTTTTTGGTGTTAGATTTTATTCAACTCTCATTTTCATCAACAATTAGCAGCCATTTATTGAGTACTTATTATGCCTAAGTCATAGCCCCTACACACAGAGGACTTCTGGTCTAGTGGAAGATGCACACACCTACACACCAGACATAGATCATAAAGGTATGAGCGCTCTGGGAGAACAAAGCCGGCCAAGATTCAAGGCAGATGATGGAGCTAAAAGCAAATAAGACTACATGTGTTTCTGATAGAAAAATTAAATTAATTCTGTTTGTAACTGATATTTTAACAGTACACCATGAGGGGGTCAAATTGTGTGTGAGGAAAAAAAAAGAGACATGAATATGAGTCCCTTTCT